TTTTTTTTTTTTTTTTGTAAGATCCCTCTGTTAAGACAGAGTGCAGGGGAGGGGGGCAGAGGGAGAGGTAGAGAGAATCCTAATCAGACTCTCCACTGAGTACAGAGCCTTATATAGGGCTCAATCCCATGACCCCAAGACCATGACCTGAGCCAAAATCAAGAGTCAGATGCTCAACTGACTGAGCCACTCAGGTGCCCCAACGTTTTTAATGTGTTTTAATCTTACGTTTATCATCTTATTCCTATTCACATTTTCCAGTGTTTGGTCCGTGGAAGTTTAGTGGGTCCTTCCGACACCCATAGTGTTTGATAAATAGCCTTGTTTTCTGGTTCCAAGCTTATCCTGTTCATTTTGTGCCCCATGCCTGGAATCAGCTTCTCTAAAGAGTCTTAGTTGCTTTTAGGAAAATGATATTTAGAGACAATCTGTGTTAGGAACATAGACATTTTTGGGGTGCCTGGATGGCTCAGTGAGTTAAGCATCAGACTTTTTTTTTTTTTAAAGATTATTTATTTATTTATTTATTAGAGAGTGAACAGGAGAGAAGCAGCATGAGAGGGGAGAGGGTCAGAGGGAGAAGCAGGCTCCCCACTGAGCTGGGAGCCCGATGTGGGACTCGATCCCAGGACCCTGAGATCATGACCTGAGCCGAAGGTAGATGCTTAACCCACTGAACAACTCAGGCACCCCAAGGGTCTGACTCTTGATATTAGCTCAGATCTTGATTTCACAGTCATGAGTTCAAGCCCCATGTTGGGCTCCGTGCCAGGCGTGGAGCCTCCTTTAAAAAAAAGAAAAATGCAAGTTCATGAGCCATGACCACCTGACTTGCATCTCTGGGAATGAGGCCCAGGAAACCTTTAATAAGCTTTCCAAGTGATTCTTATTTCATATTAAAGTTTGAGAACCCATCTAAGTTCATAGTTGTATATCTTTATGGTATAGGAAGTGATGGCAATATGTTGGTAAAAGGGGCCTCATACATCATAAAAATCATGTGCTCAGGTCAAAGCCATGTTCCCTGTTTGAAAAAATCTCCTATAGCCATGGTATTATTGTGGTTTACTTTTCATTATGAAAAAATAAATTATAAGAAAAAATTGAGACACGAATATAATAATACATATACAGGTAACATTTTATTATATTTGCTTCCTTTTAATTTTTCTGCTTGAGTTATTTTAAAGTAAATTACAGACACCATTATGTTTGACCCTAAATGCTCCGGAAGATTATTACCTATTATCTTCTAATACTCAGTTCATATTTTACATTTTTTCACTTATGTTAAAATGTCTTTTGTATAGCTAGTCTGTTCAAACCAGAATTAAAGTTTATAAACTGGATTTGGTTGTTAGGCCTCTTAAATCTCTCATAATCTAGAACAGTTCATTACTTTTTTCCCCCAATAATAAGCATTTAATCTAGCAGTTTTTAGTGACTGTTGTTTGCCAAGAAATAAAATAAATATTTATTTAAGGAGTCAAATCCAAAAACACAGTAGTAGTCAAAAAAGAAAACTGTAAGATTTTGTAAACCAAAGTAGTCAAAAGAGGCTTAATCTGGGAGAGTGACCATTAAGAACAGAACTAAGAGAGCATAGGTTAAAATTCATTTTTGTAATTCCTTTAACTCCTAAATTCATGCATTACTGTTTAGGTATAATTAAGAGGCAGCTACTGTTAACTTTTGTAAAAATAATTTTTTTTTTGTTTTACAGTGGGCAAATCAAACTAGCAGATTTTGGACTTGCACGGCTCTATAACTCTGAAGAGAGGTGAGGCATTCATCAAAATTACATGTGTGAAAAAAGGAAAAAATCCTTTTTATTCTTGGATATTCTAGTATTCTGCAAGTTGCAATAATTTCAGTTTCTTAATTTTCTAAATGTGTTAATTCTGTCTAAATTATTGAATCAGCCTTAGACTGAAATAAATCAACCCAAATTGGAATGCAAATTATTTTTTCATCTCCTACTTCTGTCCAGTTTACTTTTGAACTATTAGATTGCTATGGAGCTGTTTTGACAATCCCATTTTCAGTTGGCAGCTATTTCTATTTGCATTTACTTGTACAAGTGTTATTTCATCAGAAGCTATTGTAAATTTATGTCATGGTTGTTTTTTACATTTCAGTCGCCCTTATACAAACAAAGTCATCACTCTGTGGTACCGACCTCCAGAACTTCTGCTAGGAGAGGAGCGTTACACACCAGCCATTGATGTTTGGAGCTGTGGGTAAGTCTCCCTGTGCTTTCTCTTTTTGTAATTTACATGTTGTTGAACTTGTATCTGTTTTCTCTCTATATTGGTTTTTGTAGCTTTTCTTTAAGTTCGAAGGGATAAGGATAAACTTTTAGCCAGAATTCAGAGAAATCTGTTGAATATTTCCTAATATCAGAGACATATTTTTTTTAAAAAAACATTTCCCCAAATGTCTTTTTTTTTTTTAACTTAGTTTGAATTGAGATCCAAATACATTCAAATAAGGTCCACAGATTACAATTGATTATCTCAAGTCTTTTAATTATAGCTTCTCCCTCCCATCTCTTGGAGGAGCCTCCCCATCTTATAATTTCCTTAGAAGAAACTGGATTTTGCTGATTGCATCTTCACTGTGTTTTTGTTATTTTAGCATGGTTCTCTATCCCTTTTATTTCCTGTAAATTGTAGGTGAATTCAAGTTTGATTTCCAATCACCCACTGATACTGAAACTATTTTACAGGTGGTTTTGAGTACTTCTGATAGATTATGGTCAATGATACATCAAAGTTGGGGGTAGGAGGCATTGGGAGCCTCTGCCCAGAGTACAGACAATAACTGGATACATTACCTCTAGGGAGTTTAAGAGCAGTAAAACAATCCAGTACAAATTAGTGTGCTCTTTATTATCACATTATACAGGCAGTTCTAAACGATGTTTGTTAAAATATTCCTCCCTAACAGGGCAGATTTACACACATACATACACAGCCCGCTTTACGTAATATACAATTATCTCTTTTTGAAATGTTATCAGCTATTAATGATCCATCTTCATTCATTCATTTGTGGTTGTTTTGTGATGGTGATATTCTAATTAGATTATTCCTTCCTGGGATAAAGAAAACATCTATTTTACTAACCCTAGATACGAGTCATATAGAAAAAAGTAGAGATAAAGATTTAATTCTTTCATTTTATTCACCAGTTTTGTTTTTTTTTTTTAAGATTTTATTTATTAGAGAGAGAGAGCATGAGAGAGGAGGGAGGGTCAGAGGGAGGAGCAGACTCCCCGCCAAGCAGGGAGCCCAATGTGGGACTTGATCCCAGGACTCCAGGATCATGACCTGAGCCAGAGGCAGTCACTTAACCAACTGAGCCACCCAGGCGCCCCTTTATTCACCAGTTTTAAAGATAATGAGGTGGCTGGGGCGCCTGGGTGGCTCAGTCGTTAAGCGTCTGCCTTCGGCTCAGGTCATGATCCCAGAATCCTGGGATCGAGCCCTGCATTGAGCTCCCTGCTCCATGGGAAGCCTGCTTCTCCCTCTCCCACTCACCTTGCTTATGTTCCCTCTCTTGCTGTCTCTCTCTCTGTCAAATAAATAAAATCTTTAAAAAAAAAAAATAAAGATAATGAGGTGGTTTCCTAGTATCCTTCAAAGATGACCAAAGAGAGGGTTTAGGGCTTTTTTTTTTTTTTTTTTTTTTT